TATTATTACCCAATGGTGTATTTTATTGTGTTCTAAGCTGAGTAGTCTGGAGTCACTTGGTGTAAATGAACATATAAGAAACACATATCTGGATATGCCTAATGAACTGCTAACAATAAGTTGGTTTTTCAATTTTCTCTTGAGTTTGATTCTTATAATTTCATGTCTCTAGCTTCCTCCAAACGAAAGACATTTTGTGTTAGTTATGTTCAAGAGGTTAACAACTAATTAGTTGTTGTTTTCGCAATCCACCTCGCAGGTACGTTATTCCCGCACCCAATACTACTGGGCATATGAATAATCTAAAACCCAAATCAGTTTCCAGTCCAAGGTGGCGAAGAGTTGTCTTTAAAATAAGTGGTACAGCTCTTACAGGGACTGGTCCTAACAACATCGACCCGAAGGTTAATAGAATTTTCTTGTTAGCTTCTTAGGAGTTATAACATTATATCATTAGGATGGATAGTTGCAAGCATCAAGTTTGTTTCTCTGATGATTAGGTTACAATGGCAATTGCTAGAGAAGTTGTAATAGCTTGTCGCCTGGGTGTGGAGGTACTGATTATTGCGTTTAACCACTTTTTATTGCATCTTTCCATTTATTCACGTCGAGCTATATTGTTTATTATAATATTACAGGTGGCAATCGTTGTTGGAGGTCGTAACTTCTTTTGTGGAGATTCTTGGGTGACTGCAACAGGTTTAGATAGATGTACAGCATACCAAATTGGGTACGTTTTCACTCACCACCTTGGCGATACTAAATCTTCTTTCCCATTACTTAATAGGATGTTTTGATATTTTACATTGATTTGTTCATATTGTACCTCTCCTAAACAAGATAACATAGAGGTACTAAAATCAGTGTTTTATGTGACATTATAGAAAATTTAGAGGTTTGTTATCTAGAATATGAAGCAAGAGGCTTTTCGACAAATGCTAGTGATATGGGAAGTGTAATTTTTACCGGAGTAAGATATCTTTTATTTCACTACTATTCACCAGTATAACCCTATCTTTAAAGGGAGAGAAAATAGGTTAAATAAAGTAAAAACCCTTGCGGTGACAAAAGAAAAAAAAAACAAAAAACAAAGAAGGAAACGACAATAAAGGAGATACACAATTACAAAGATGCAAAGATATTTGAGAAATTCTTCTGTTTTCAACATTCCCCTCAATTTGGATTTGTATATGTTCATTAGATCCAGCTTGGGCTCTAGGACGTATCGGATATGAAGATCAAGTCAGTTTTGCCATTTCACAAGGTTCACATTGAAAAACCAGAGAACTTTTACTAAAAATATCTGGAAATATTCTTCTCAAATACATAAATTGGGATGGCCTAAATGTTGGTGCATTGCCAATCGTAGGATAAAAGTTCCTTTACTCGAGGCTAAATCCTACTATAGGATAAAAATTATCTTTAGAACTTTTATTGAAAAAAAGATTTATCCTACTGTCATAATTATCTTTAGAAGAAGAAGAAGAAGAAAAAAAGGATTTAGTAACGGCTAACTTCTTTACATGAGGCTTGGGGATATTCAGGATATAGTGAACCCAAATATTCTTTAGCATTGTCAATCGTCTTCCCCAAATCCAAATCTTGAAAAATACACCCATGTGAGTAGAAGGTTATAATGCATTTTTTTTCGTAATTGCTAGTTTGCTATTGAAAGAAGATTGCATTTAAGGTTAGGAACATGCAGAACATTTTCTAAGATAAGATCTTTAGAGATAAAAACATTCCAGTTCCTAATCCTTTTGATTAAGTGTCACAAAAATTTCACATCCTTTTGAATAAGTTCCTAATCCTCTTGAATAGGATCTCCGATTATCTGTTGCAACTTGTACCGCTATATCCTTGAATTCTAAAGTTTCTAAAGCTTGAAAGTTGTCACACTAGGTCTAGTGATGTGTAGTTGAGACCATGAATGCATCTGAGGTTTATTGGGATAGATCAAAAGAAGAATGTTAAAGTTGTACGAAGATGTTGGAACATATCATATGTTCTTTGTTGGCTGGATAGGTGCTGCTAGTGGTAGCTAAAGAAATGCTATGCCATTTAATTTAGGATAGGTTTATGTATATCCTGACCTTAATTTGTTGGTAAAACCTACTCGATAAACATCTCATCGTGTTACTATGTGCATGACTGATGTTGACGTCTTGAATACCATTTATACAGTATGATGGCTACTTTGATGAATTCAATACTTCTCCAGTCAGCAATAGAGAATATGGGAGTCCAGACTCGTGTCCAATCTGCATTTATGCTTCATGAGGTTGCTGAACCATACAGTAGGCAACGTGCTATAAGGCATCTTGAGAAAGGCAGAGTAGTTATATTTGGTGGCATTGGCACTGGCACTGGCAATCCCCTATTTTTCACTGATACAGCTGCAGCTCTTCGAGCTTCTGAGAGTATTACCCTCTGCCTACCATCCTCTCTTTTAGCTTTGTTGTTGCAGCATCATATGCTAGTCTTTAGGATTTGAATGCTTACGTAGTTTTACTTGCCTTTCTCTCTTAGTTCATGCCGAGGCAGTTCTTAAAGGTACCAATGCTGATGGGGTGTATGACTGCAGTTCGCAAGACAACAATTTTACATTCAAGCACATCTCTTTCAGAGAGTTGGCCTCAAGAGGTGCCACAAGCATGGACGTGACTGCATTAACTTTCTGCGAAGAGAACAACATTCCGGGTACGTTTTCTTGTTTATATATTATTAATGTAGTATTCAGGTATAGTCTTTTCAACTAATGCATTCAATTCTAGTTTATTTTACGATACCAATTCCATACAGCGACAGGCAGAAAATTCTGGTTTGATCTCATAACACTAAATACAAGTTTCGGACATTTTTTTATCCATGAGGTAGAGCAAGTACTAGAAACTAGATTATAAAACGATAATGGTCGAATCCTCCTTCAATGCTTGGGAGTTCAGTTTTTTCCTGTTTATTGCGTTGCTGTTTAAGAATCAGATAAAATCCAACCCAATTTTATTTTTACAGTCGTTGTCTTTAATCTTCTTGAGCCTGGAAATATCTCAAAAGCATTGTGCGGAGACCAAGTGGGTACACTGATTGATCAAAATGGAGGAATTAGCTAGTGTTCGTGATACTTAAAAATATTTAGTATTAGGTATTTCGTGTTGAGTCCATAGAGTGTTCGGTTGGCTCGTTTAAGAAATGGTAGCTGCCCTCTCAGTTTCTGGGATCTTTCCTGGCTAGGATTTGGTTTGCTATGTTACTTGCTTAGTAACTCAGTGTGAAAGTAGAGTAGATTCTGATTACTAATCTGAAGATCTGATTCTTGGTGTGGTGCCAAAATTTCTTCTGCATTTGTATTTATATTTGTTGTATGTATACTATTATTGGTTCAGTGGAAGGGTAGGCTAAGAAATGGGTTGGGGATGGCAGATTTGAAGTGTATTGATATGTATACTTGTCATGTAATGTATGCGAAGTGTTTGTAAGTTGAACGTTTTCAATGTATGATTCAAACACAGCCTTTTGCTGTTTTTCATAATGTATAAAATACCAAGTGTGTTGCAGAAGCGTGCTGTTACAAAAAAGTTTCTTTTACTTGAGATTGGTTGGTTTTGTGGCTTGTGGGAGTTTGTGCTGAGTTATAGCACGCTGGGTCGATCGTTAGTGAATTCTATCTCGTATTCTTTTATTTTTTCTCGTTGAAAGTTCGGTACTCCTGATAGTAAGACCAGGGTCGTTATGTAATCTCTTGATGATATAATACATTTGTAATAACGATTCTTGTCTTTTGTAGTAATTGCTTTCATAGTTGTGGAATCTTTGCTTGTGTAGCATCATGTTCATCGTGTCGACACCAAAAAAAAAAAAAAATACATCGTCCTAAGGTTTAACCTTAGTATATGGTATTTTTTAAAGCTTATTTACATGAATTGAAATGATATTAAAGTTTTGTATTAAGTCATTTTGCTAAACAAAATGTTAAATTTATTAATAAATTGTTGCTATGTTCTTAAGTTATTGTTTTATTAACCTATTTTGTGTGAGTGGTGAGTAAATTAAATGGTTAAAGAGAAAAATAGTAAATTGGAGTGTTTTCTAAGTTTAGAGTTATTGCATATTTAAAGTCAAATAAATATTAACAAATGAACCAAAATAATTTAAAAGAAAGCCCAATTTTTAAGGCAATATTTATTTTTGGTTTAAATTCATAACAAAAAAAAAAAAAAAAAAAAAAAAAAAAAAAAAAAAAAAAAAAAAAAAAAAAAAAAAAAAAAAAAAA